AGCGGTCTAAACTGTCTCAAACGAAATAGCTGGTGGTCTGGAGTTCAATCCCCACCAAAGCCATCCCAAGCAACCCGGGTGGATGGGACTCGTTAGCCTTGGACGGCAACCTGTCTAAGAGAAGGCAAACTCTGAATTTAAAACCAGGAGCCAGAATGATCAACAAATTGATCGTGGGCACCTCAAATATAAGAAGAAGAAGAAGGGGGAAAAAACCAATGAAAATACAAGATAAAATTGGAGATATCTACAAATAAAAACCACAATAGAAGAGTAGAAATAGATTTTCTCATACAGCCTAAATCAAAATTACCATGTCTTCAAACGTTTTAATTAATAAATACATGTCATGAAAAAAGACCACCAGCCCTCCTCTGAAATTTTCCCCTACTAAAACCGTACCTAAAATAAAATAAAACAGTTTTGAATAGAACTCTATGATATTAAAATATTAAAACAATATGAGCTATTGTTTTAAAATGGTACAGTCAATAGATACAACTGAACAAGCAACAAGGAGCTCAAGCAGGAAGTGAAAGAGAAAAAACAAACTACAACAATGCATCAGGACTAGATTTTTTATTTTTATTTTACCTTTTGGAAGTTATAAACACAATAGAGTAGATGATGGGTGCTTCAGTTACATAGAGAAAACATTTCATGGTATCCGTCAACATAAATCAAATTAATTAAAATTAAAGTTCAAAACAGCCAAATATCCTTAAACATGTGGATATACTTTTCTTTATAGAGCCTAAATATAATATATATTGATTTAAATTAACTTTTCATAACTTACAGTTAATATTGAAACCATCAAATAAGTAGTATGTGCTACCTAATCCATGATAAAATTGAATATGAAAGTGCTTAAATTATGACATCCAAAAATTAGTGGTTTACTTGTTAAGTCTTCTTCATAGCTTGTCATATTAAGATGCATTGCAGTTGGATAAGCTTAAATCAACGACACAATATAAATCGATTTAAAAAAAACAAAAATTATTTCAGAAGCCAACACCAGTTATGGCCTGGTTCTAATGGCTATGCTCCAGTGCAGAAACAGAAAAGAATGTCAGACTAGCGTTAAAATGATCATTTGTGACAAAGGTATATTTTAATCTTTTTGGAATACCAAGAGCATCGTTAGTGGTTGAGAAAATATCAAGGTTGAATTTTAATCTTAATATACTAGTATTTTTCCATTAAGCTGGAATTTTCAACATGTCACACGTAACAAAATTGAAAAAAAAAATCATGTTTAAGAAAGACTTGTACTTCTTTTCTGCAAGTGGACGACTCAACAAACATATAAGATGAGCATAGGGAAGTGATCTTTCGCTGTATCTATTGCACATCTAAATGAATTGAAACATTAACCATACAATGATTGAATTTTGTTTTTTTATAACAAATGTTCAAACAAAGAAATCAATGCATCATTGATGACTTTACAAGCTGAGTGGATCATAACCTAGATATTGTGTCAGCCATGTAATATGAACATTAGTTTAAAAAAAAACAACAACATATTGTTGGATAAAATTACACTTTACTTTGAAAACATGAGAATGTGAAATTCATTTTTAGAATCTATTCTGTAATCTATCTGTATAAATTTAACATTAAAAAAAATTAAATGTCATCAGTATCATCTAACAATGCAAATGCCACACTGTCATTGAGTGGGGTGAACATACTGAAACAATTATCTTGGAATGTACAACAACCAACACAATTCTAAGAAGTGACGTTGAAACCAATAACAAAATAGACATACACTTTTTTTTAAATCTACTAAACTTAAGAAGGATTTTTTAATTTTCTTTTTAATTTTTATATAAAAAAAAAATCACTTTAGTCTCCAAAGATTTGTAATTAATTTGACTTATGTTTGTGTTCAACGGCCTGGACATATGCAAATATTTGGATTCAAAAATGCAAATGTAAAGAACTTAATGACTGGAATGAATACAACAAATAATTTATAATTTATTTATTTATTTTACTAGAGAAAAATCAATAGAAACCTTAAGATGATCAATTGGTTTGAAACTGAATAATTCTGATGACCCTGTTGTTTACATACCTTTCAAACGCAACACATAGAGAAAAAAAAACAACATACTGCTTTAGTGTTCAATGGTCCACGGAAACGTTTCCAAGAATATTTAAATAAAAGTTTTTTTTTTTTTATAATGCTTAATTCATCTTAATTTTTATTATTTCGATTCAAGAAATTATATTAAAAAAAAAAAAAAAAACTAAAAAAACAAAAAAAAAAAAAAAAATAAAAAAGAAAAAAAAAAAAAAAATTAAATAAAAGTTTTTTTTTTTTTATAATGCTTAATTCATCTTAATTTTTATTATTTCGATTCAAGACATTATATTAAAAAAAAAAAAAAAAATCTAAATAAACCAAACACAATTAAATAGTTGAAAGGCTAAATAAAACAAGAGCCACCTGTATGTATCTGTAAGTTGCTGTTGTTAATGTGCAAGAAGCTAAAAGGATTGCAAGAGCTATGCTGTCAGGAATTACACCAGGAAAGGTGATAAAACAGAGGGCACACAACAAGTAAAGTAGAACTAGCTGCATGAAATTGCTATGACTGGAAGGGAATTTTCATAAACAAAGTTATATAAGTTACAAACACTACGGTATTGAAATATAAGCATTTGAACCAAATCCCATCTACAAGTTCTGCCACTACTGCACAGCTAAAAAAATAAATTATTGAAAACACACCTGAACCATTCAAGAAATAGGTGCATGGCGGGGGGGGGGGGGGGGAAAAAAAGGGGAGTAGGGGGGGGGAATACAAATATTTTATATATAGCATAGAAAATTACATTTCATTTACAAGTTTTAGTTTAAAGAAATATCAGTGGGAAAATAAAACCTCAACTTAAATAGGTACGGTTAAAAAATTTGAAAGGAAAAATACTCCATAAAATGTTGGCCATAAAGTTACTACAGTCATTTTTTTTATATATTATATTTTGCACTTGTCATATTTCAAGTTCATACTCTTTGTAAAAATGTATTACATTTATATGTATAAAAAAAGCATTTGTCGTATTTTTAAACAATTTTTTTGTTGATGCAGGGGGTTTAGATCAAGCATTATTGGGTCAGGAGTGAGACATACAGCAGGAATTTAAAAGAAAAACTTAGATTTAGAGATCATACATTATATCAACCCACAACTGGGTGCTAAAAAAAATTTATAGTTATAGACTTGTGCTGTTCAAGTGCACAAGACTGATAATTCATTTCAAAACTCACATAAGATCAACTACATACAGTGTCACAGGCTAAAGTGAGGTCTGCAATATGCTTCATTCTCAAGCAATCATGATTTTATCTCCCACCTGGTCTTTATGTTATGCATTGTGGTCATAAGAAAGAAACATTGAGATATGAGTTGTTTATCCAGTGTGGTGAGAACCACTGAAAATATAAATTCAGTCACACACACAAGATGGTGACATATAAAACCAACAAAAACAAAATGTGGTAAGTTTTTTAAGCATACACCACTATAGCATGCATATGTAAGAAACATATACAACTAAATGTAAGTTGTTTCAAGACGTTAACACTAAAATCTGAAAACATAAGCAGTAATTGTGTTCACAAAAACATAAGGTACATTTTCAGCTTTATGGATATGGCAACATAAACAGAAAATTTAAATAATTGGCTCCAAATGCATCAATTCTTAAATAAAATGCTTGACTATGATATACTGGTAGTAAACAATGTTGATCTCTTTTAACACTAATCAGATTTTCTTTCAGTATATATTTATATATATATGAGTAAAACATAAGCTATACAATTAATGCGAAGAAAAATAGATGAGAATGGAAGTTCTTGGGAGAGATTAAATTTTGTAAAAAAGTTTTAAGTAAATTATTAAGTTTTGCAGCTCAGGAGTTAAGTATAACACAGTGTTGGACACAACCAAATGCCAAATTAATATATAACTGACGTTGTTCAGTTTTTATTTGTTTTAAAAATCACAACTGCTTGGAGTTCGTGGTTGGATTTAAGCAAACTAAATGTGCTGTTTAAGCTTCATAATAAATAGGAATAAACAGAATTATTCAACAGAATGCAGCAACATAAAAATAAATAAATTCAGCAGTAATAAATTTCATTTAGTAAAGATGCTGCACACTTCACTGTCTGACATAGAATAAAATTCTTTATGATGTTTATATGTAGATTAAAATAATTAAAACAAAATAGCATAGTAAATGTGTGAATTTTTGTTGAGCCTTATCACAATCATATAGCTTAGCAATAAAACACTCAAGAATGTGTTCAAGATTTCATCCAAGTCAGCTGCACACCAACACGTTCCTGCGTTTCATTCATTCAATTTTGTTACTTATTAAAACTGTTCTAATGTACAAATTTTGGCTTGTGAAGCACTGTTCACTTCTTTTTCTTAGTCTTGAGTCCATTATCTTTCTCTTTTCTCTGCTGCTTCAATAGTTTTTTCTCTAATTTCAGTCTCTGCTTCTCTCGCAAACTTGACACAAGTTTGTAAGAGAAAAATCCTGATGGAATATAAAAGATATCAACATTAAATTGTCTACAACAATAATATTAACTTTTAAAAGGATGTTACACAAATGAAGCGTTATTAATTTTATTATGGAGATCCCATGTAAATGAAACATGGGGTTTAGTCCTCAACATCCCTTAATGGTTCTACATCAGCTTTGTGCTAATAAAGGGCTACCAATTTTACCAATGAGTTTTCTTCAATTTTTTTTCTTCCCCATTTTCACTCATCTTTTTCACCCGTTGTGTATTGCATATTTCTCAATATAAAAATGTTATATTTACACCATTTGTTTATGATATCATTTGTTTAGGAATGAAAGTATATAATTTGCTAAACAATAGCATTTTCTAATTAAAATGTAATAATTTGACGTCAACTTTGTATATTTTCCTGAGTTAATTAATAATTCAATAAACTGCAAGTTTTTTTAGTGAAAAATATTCATAACTTATTAAATGTGAAGTGAAAAATATTAAGCTCAAATTTAGTGAGGTGAAGGAACTTATTAATTTAAAAAACAAGCAACTATTTGTATTTACAAAAGATAAAACGTCCACATTATTAGTGATTCTCACAAAGTTACATTCAAGAAGTAAGCCCTACAAATTAAAACTTAAATTTAAAGCTTTGTAACTTATATCAGTATCTATACATTTATCATTATTTTTGTTGCATTGAGAGCTGAATCAAAAGTTTGATAATTTTGGGTGGCATTTGAGCCAAATTTACTTAGACTGAATAAAAACAATGTAATATTGTTGGGTGCCATTTGAGCCTTTAATGCCATTAACATTAAATTAGATTTAATACTGACTTTATGTGTTAAGTCGTGATATTCATATAAGAGATGTGCCTGTAATTGTAATTCACCTGTGCATTTGTGTCAGTATTAGTACATTTCTTTTGAGGTCACTTTTGAAACTGTATTTTTCTTATCAGTAATAAGTGTTTTAGTGCTAAAGAACTTGTGAATTATTTCATTTTGATGACTCGGACTTATATTTTTTTTTTCAATATCAAGGTAAGCTGTTCCTATTTCAAAATTTAGATTACCGGTATTAAAAACATTATAATCAGATTAAAAGTGGTTATCCATCCCTAGCAACCAAACCCAAAATTAAAACCTCTGATAAAGCCAACAACTGTTATTTATGTTATAAAAATTATTATGATTGAAAACAATTAATTATTATTTATCCTTTCCATTAATATTCTTAATTCTGTACAACCCAAAAAAAAAAAGAATTCATTAAATACCAGACAGCAGCCAGCTTTCTATAATAAGTAACGTGCCAACACCTTGATCATTCATGATGATAATCTACATTGGCTCAAAGTGTCCTCTTGTTTGACATTTAAGATGACAGAGTAAACTATTTACACACTTTATTTTTATCATTACAGTTTTTAAAAAAAGCTCTTAATTAGTAAAGTTAACCTATTTTTATCTTCAATTGTTAAAGCTTAAACTGAAATTTAAAAAAAAAATTGTTTTAAAATTATCCTTTACAAAAATAAAGATGTAGGCTTTTTATTCTTGAAAGTTGTAAAAATGTTGACTTCGGCTATTCAGAATCGGGTATCAGAAGTGAGAGTTTGGGTTTATTAAAAAATATTAAAAATATTATTGTAGGGTTTGTAAAACAAAATTAGGTATCAAATGAAAGATAATGAAGTGGACTATATTTTTGTAAACATACCGTATTTATTGGCGTATAACACACAATTTTCTCCCCAAAAATAGGGGGCAAATCATATGTGCATGTTATACGCCCATATAATGTTTAGTTTTTCCCCTGAAATTTCCTTCTTAAATTGAGGTGCGTGTTATACGCGGGAGTGTGTTATAAGCCAATAAATATAGTACTTCTTCAGTGTAACTTAAATAAACTACCACAAATGAAATCCGAATAGCACTTAGTCTCAAGAGACCCAGACACACATAGCCGCTATTAGGACCCCGGTCCCTTTAGTCCAAGTAGTAAGTAAGAAGAGGTAAGTTTACAAACATTAATTCCATTATCTTTCATTTGATACCAAATTTTGTCTCACAACCCAAAAAAATTTGTAATATATTTTTGGCTGCGGCTTTCAGACCCTGTATCAGAAGTGAGAGGTTTGGTTTATTAAAAAAATTATTGTAGGTTTTGTATGACAAAATTCGGTATCAAATTAAAAATAAGTGAATGGACTATATGTTTATCAACTTAATTCTTCAGTTTTACTAAAATAAACTACCACAAATGACATCCGAATAGCATTTAGTCGAAAGGGACCCGGGTCCGAATAGCGGCGATGGGTGTCCGAGATTACAGGCATATTTATTTTAATCTGAAGAAAACAAAATGCTTGTCTTGAATAATAAAAAAAGATCTTATAGCTTTATTCTTTTTAGTTCCTCAGTAGAATTAATCAGGCAGTGACAAAATTTTTTTGACAATGCACATGTTTCTGCCGCAGCACTATGAATGATTATAAAATAGCAATGTCATGCTAAAACTGCAATAGTTATTTACAGTCAATATATAATATAATGTGAACATCTTTATTATGTTTATAAAATAGAGAGAAAATTTTTCCCTGCCATTGTTATATAAATGAGTTTCTGGAAAACAGTAGTTTTCATATTTCATACCGATATGATAATTTGTAGCCAATGTGGTATAATTTTTATAAAAATATGTAAAAATTATTCATCTGCTTTATATTATTTGCTAATACTAATTGTATTTCTCTCATGAAGTACTTACCTGGTTTTCTTTAACTTTTTTTAATTAATTTTTTTTTTTTTTAAAAATGCACAATTTAAAAAAAATAAATAAATGAAGTATTATTAAAAGTGGACTAATTAATACAAATTATGATAAAATTGCTTGAAATTTATATGTGTTGTAATATAAACATTTTTTAATCCCAACCTCTCACTTCTGGTAGGAGGGTCCAAATATCCACTTCATATTTTTTAAATCCCAACCTCTCACTTCTGGGACCCGGTCCGAATAGCCACTTCGAAAATATTTCGAAGGCCTATGATTTACAAAAAAATATATAAAAAAACAACAACACACATAAATTGAAGGGGGCCAATTTTTGAAGAAAAAAAATAAATTGATATTCAATTTTCTTGCTTAAAATCTGAATGTTACAGAAGTAAATCTAGGCTTCCATTAACAATATGAAGTCTTAGAATAATTAAAGCATGTTCTACTCCATACTTTTCCACCTTGGGCTTGACCAGTCGAAACAGCTGCTGGGTGATGATGTGTCAAATATAGTACGTGTGGCAGTTGGATTATTAATAATTTACTATTATTATTTTAGCAACTGCTAATTCAATTTATAGTGCAAGAAAACTGATGAAAAAATTAATTTTGTATGTTTTTCTTACCTACAAGCAACACAATGATAATACCAGGTATAATAAAAACAGTATTATCGATAGTCTCTTTAACAGGACCAGATCCAAACTCAACCATTTTCTGTTGTTTTAGTCTATCAAACAGCAATATGTTAAACTCTAGCAGACCATCCAGGAGAATGGCTTTACCGGAAGTTGACGTTAAAATTACAAATAACTGTTATAGCTTTTCAAAAAGCCTAGAGAATCGATTCCATTTCTTGCAGTGAATATTAAAATATGCTGATCTTTTAATAATTAATTTCTGAGAAGATTTAAGTCATTATGTTTATATATATATATGTTTATATAATATATATATATATATATATAT